AGAGAGAGAGACAGAGAGAGAGAGAGAGAGAGAGAGAGAGAGAGAGAGAGAGAGAGAGAGACATTTGGAGTTGTCTTCCCCACAGATGCGCCTGCAGTACCTGCCCTGCGCCGCAGGGGGCACTGCGCTAGTGTCTAAGTAGCCCATGCCATTTTTTGTCAGTTGTTATGAAAATGACCCCCAGATACATCTCCATGCAATTGCACTCTTTACTCCGTCCGAAACATGTAATGTTCAAAAGCCCTCGAATAAAGTACAAACTTCAAAAAAACCCAAATTAATGTGTATCACATGCCAAGCATTTTTCATTTGTGCTACCAATTCTCTAAGATAAACCTTTACTGTTTTTGTCGTTCTTTTGCTTTTATTTGGCAGAGAATACAAAGTCTACCATTTGCATGGAAACAGATCTAACATTTTATCAATAAAAAAAACCTTATTTTTTTTTTTTAAAGCAACAACATGGAAGTGATTGCAAGGAATCTGGCTCCTGCCGAAATCTTTGGAGTTTTGTAGAAGTATCTTGAATTCCTTTTAACCCTATAGAGACGAATAGAGACAGAGAACCATTATCTTGAAAAATGCTGCAAGTAGCTTAAATTCCACGGGATTTCTGCCACATGAGGAACCCCAAATATAAATAAAGGGCAAAATTATAGATAGACAATAGGAAATAGGGAGAGAGATTGTGTTCAAAGGGGAAGGGATTCAAGAGACAGAAGAAGAGGGGAGAGAAGTGTGGGGAAAGGGAGAAAAATAATGAAATAATGAAAGTGTATTATGTACATGTTCCAGCCCCACACAAGGAATGCGATCACACTGCAATACAAACACGTACTAGTAAATATTAAAAACAGAAAATATATTTTAAAATGCTGCTAGTAACCTAGATTGTGATTTTCCTTCTTTCTGAAAATTGTGACAGCCATAAACAATTCCAGGCCTAGTTTCATCTGCTGTATTTGTTAAAATATCTTGGATTGAAACCTGATCAATACATTAAATCTCTCGGGGACATCATTTTGAGAGTAACTGAATTATTTCTTTTCAGGTGCTCACAAAATGTCATGTAAATGGGTGAGCAACATCTCCTATATGACTATACTACTACATTGCAATCCTTGCTTTAAGGGTTTAGTCTATTATTCCTTTAAAAAATCTTTATGATGGTAGTAGGAATTGAATCCAGTGCCTTCATATTGAGCTACATATCCTGTATCCTCCTCTTCCTTGTTTTTGAAACAAGATCTCACTAACTTACTAATTTTCTCAGGATGGGCTTAAATCTGAGATCCTCCTGCCCTACCTCCCGGAGTACTGGGATTCTGAGCGTGGGCCAGCATACTTGTCAGGTTCTTCTACTTATTGTTTGTTTATAAGTTCTTACTCTGGAAATTTTCTCAACTATGAAGTTGAAATAACCCATAGCATAAGCTTTTTGGGACGCTTAAACATGATAATTTGTATAATTTTGTCTTACTTGGCATAAACATATAAACCATCGTTCTTGAATAACTACATATAAACTAAATATTAGAAATATCTATTTGTTTTTCTGTTTGAAAGGCTTGTGATAAATATCACACTTTTGAAAAATGGCAGATGTACAGTAGTGATAAGTTAAAGTTGTACAGTGAAGTATTTTATCAGACAGTCATTTACAAAAAAAGAACCATAGATGATACTAAAAAATTTGAAGATATTTACAAGTGGTGCCGACATTACATTTTAGTTTAATTGAAATAGAGCCCATTGAAAAATGACTCCACGTATGGGAAAAGTCTTCCTAGGAAAATGTTATTACTTTGCTTTTCTAACTGGAATCCATAGCCAGAGTGGAAGAGATGGTGCTGTGTGCTAGCACATGGTCGCCTCATCCAGTCGCTGAACATGATGCACAAAGCCCCAAACTGAACACTAGGTGGCATTGAAAGGCAAACTAAAGAACCATCAGACTTGTTTTGATACTGTTTGGCTTTGTGTTGAGACAGGGCCTCTTGGTACCACACGTTGTGCCAGCCCCAGAATCCGGGGCATGCCAGCACTGAAACCCGATGTGGTGATGGACAGCTGGAGCTCTGGAGAGGCTGAGACAGGAAGATCATTACTAGTCTAAAGTGTGTAGTGAGGCCCAGTATAGAATAAATGAAATAAAAAATAAGTACAAATTTTAAAAAATGGTATAGTCTGTGCTGGTCTTGAAATTGCTATGTACACCAGGTTGGCCTCAAACTGATGATCCTCCTGCTTCAGCAGCCGAGGAGCTGGGATTCCAGACACATGTCACTATGTCCAGGTAGAATTGCAAATACTCGATATTTTCTTTTTTCTAATTTATGACATCTGTTTATATGTGTTTTGAAACTTTAGAAATGAAATTCATTAAACAGATATTATGATAATTATCAATTGTCCCTGGTCTTACAAATGTGTGGTAACTTCATCAGAGTTGTAACTTAAGGTATTGAACGACATGTTTTGCTTTGTTTTTTGTAGGATCCACTGAGGTCTTTTTTCTTGTTTACCATTATATCCCAGAAGATTTGTACAGCGCATCCTACACACATCTGTTACATGAATTTACTGCATGATGAATCAGCCACATTCTACTTTAATGTGTCTATCATGTATTACCTTGTTGTCATTGCTCTTTTCTCCTGTCTTTTGCTTGCCTTCTTCCTCTTTCTTTTTTCTTTCAGCTGCTTCCTTTTCCCTGGAAGGATGCAAAGAAACATTCAGACCCACAGGAATGAATACCTCATTAATTACAAGATCTATTTCCAAAACTATAGTCATTTTCCTAAACTTTTGAGAAATGACCATTATGCTCTTAAGTCTCAGAGTCAAAACACTTTTGGAAAATACTCACAGTCTGTTTTTGCACATAGCACACTTGTTGCCATGTGTCTTTCCATCTGGACCCCTGACAGGGTCACTTTCTCTAGTGCAGGTAAGTTTTCCATTTTTCATTTGGCTTCTGTACTCATCACATACATCCTAAAAAGAAAGAGGTCATATTAGAAATGCTATTCACGTATAGTGTTTAATTAAATTTGAACATTAGCACATTTTCTTCTAAGAGTTGGGCAGACTCTTCACCTTGCTGTAGTAGACAAGTAATGATCTGTAAATATGTTCATGCTCTAACTTTGGTTCCCTATAGAATTAAGGTCTCCATTCAGCTGTACTTCATCTAAGATCATCATAGTGGGCCCATGCCATCCTAAAGATTCTTACTCATGAAAGAGAGAGACTGGAAGTTGGTGTCAGAATGATACAGCATTAAAAAGATGTGGCTAGGGCTGGGAAGATAGCTCAGTAGAATAAGCACTTGCCTGGCAAGCTCAGGGTCCTGAGTTCAATCCCCGGTACCATAAAAAAAATAAATATAAAAAGATGTGGTTGATCATTGAGGACATTGAAAGTAACCATGAAGCAAGGAATCTGGTGGTCTTCAGAAATTAGAAAGACAAGCAAGCATAACTTCTCATAGAACTTCCACAAAGGAAAATAACTTTAACCACACCCTGGTTTAGTCAGACCATTAGAATTTTTAGATTCCACAAGTATAAGTTACCACCCTGTTATTGGCTCTGACTCCTGATTTTGTAAGGGCAAGAGCTCAGTTGACCACATGGACCACCTCTTTCCATGGTGTTGATGGACAACTGTGGATGGAGACACCAGTCTAGAAAATATTATTAATGACTTACCTTTCCTGATGCTGACTCAGTCTTATCATATCTTAAGGTAGAATTCTTTTCTTTTTCCTTTGCTTCTCTTTGTCTGAAAGACACATTTAAAAATATGACGCTTAATGACTAAAAAGCTATTAACAAGTGCATATCAGATGTTAACAAACACCAGGTAACATTAGCATTTGGATAAAATGTTCTCACATGACTTGTATAACCAAAAGCTGATAATTTTTTTCAGGTAGAAATGTGAAAAATGTCTGTGTGTGTGTGTGTGTTGTGTGTGTGTGTGTGTTGTGTGTGTGTGTATGTGTGTGTGTGTGCATGTGTCTGGCATTAAGTAGTCATTAAACATATATTGAAAAAGTACCATAATTATGAGCACTCTGGTAGGTTTTAGAACTGTACATACTCTTCCATGTCATCGAGAAGTATCTCACTGTACAGATAGAATTAAAATATAATTATGCTTCATGACTTGACCACACAAATCATTAGTGGCTATACTGGGTCCCAAAGCATTCCAACTCAATTCCATTTACCAAGGGAAAATAAATAGAAGAAACAGGTCCCTTGTTTATGCAGTAAGTGTGATGCATCCATGGAGCAAGAAAATAGCTCTCTTAAGCTATACTCATTGGCTGTTCCACATGATCATCACAAAGTCTTCCCAGGCTTCAGGCAAAATGAACAACAATAATGTATCATGATGGCTTTTGGAGACCATAGAATTATAACAAAAACTAGAGGAGAAATCATTCAGCTGTTCAGCTGTCCTTTAGGGCTCATGTTCCCCAGGAAATACAAGGGAAAGCAATGCTATTTGGGAATTAAGCAAAACCGTGAGTTTCACAGAGGGAGCCACAGAATAGGAGAAGTGGCCTTTAGTTCAGGAGGTGGCAACATATTAACCATGTCTATTGTGATAAGCACTTACAGTAATTCTTTACACATGCCACACTTATTGTTGTATGATTTCCCATCTGCACCACGCACAGGGTCATGCTCCCGAGTGCAGGCAAGATTGCCGTCTCTCATCATGTCCCGGAACTCGGCACATGGGTCCTGATAAGAGAAGAAGAAGGCAGTCCTCAGAGTAAATTAGTCTGCTTACTCTGTTGTCATTCATTTGTCAAACCAAGAAAAAAGTTCTTTCTCCTTCCCCATATAAGATTTATCTCTGAAATTGCTTTCCACTGAGAAAGAGTAGTCAAAAGCATCCATATTCCAGTTCAAAGGGGTCAGCTATGTTGCTTCTAAGGATCTCTTTGGTCATTTTTACATCCTTATATCTGGTGATCTGAGCAACTACATTAAAGACAACAATGTGCAACATAACAGCCAATGTTGAATACCTACCATTTTGGGTTTTTTTAAAATCCTATACAATTTCTAATGTCTTATCGATTATTTTTCTATTCTCTTGAAAACAAAAAGAGCAAAAAAATTAAAAACAAAGCAAAAGATAAATGTAAAGCTGATAAAGATTTAATAGCATAGATTGGAGTTTGGCAAACTTTGCTCAATTCTGTCCTGCTTTCTGTTCTGACATGTAAAATTTTATTGAAACATTTCTGTCTTCATTTGCTTAGATATAGTTTAACTGATATTAACTGATATTTTATTTTTATTTATTTTTCTGCATCATGTGTTCCTTATTTTGTCTTGTTATTCTTTCTTGCTCTGAATGGAAGCAAGTTTCTGAGGTATATTTTTTGTTGATCTAAAGCACAAATAATAGGGTAGAAGAACATAGACTTCGAGATCAGTTTGGGATAACTGACACAAAGGACAAGTATATTTTAACTGATGCAACTTTTAGTATAATTTTACTTTAAATTTGAACATCCATCCTATTTTATTTCAAGGTTGTAAGAAGATAAGTAAGATGAGTATGATTTTTACCAAATGAGGTAAGAGGTCCAAGAAATTAACTTACATTCAATAGCACCTTGCTGACACTTAAAAATATCTCAAGAAATATACTAAATATTTGTCTAAGTTATTTAACTGCATTGAATTTTTTTTTACAAAAGCACTGTTATATAAGGTAGATTAAGTAATTTGTTCAATACTTCAAAATCCACAAGGAAGGGGACAGGATATTATCCCAAACTAATCTCAAAGTCTCTGTTCTTCTACCCTAATACGGTGCTTTAAATCAACAAAAAAAGATACTTCAGAAACTTGCTTCCATTCAGGGAAAGAAAGAATAAGGAGACAAAATAAAGAGCACATGATGCAGATGAGAAGGAATAGCAACACAAAGGCTCGATTAGTAGAACAAGGATCAAGAGAATAGGAGAAATCCCCATGTTATCACTATTTACATGTGTAAAGGAGTCCAAAACCGCCTAGAGAAGCTAAAATTGTTAATTTGTTATCCTATGGCCTGAAGGGTCAGTCTGCTTCTTCCAAAGGACTCCACATTCCCCTCCAGTCATGTGCTTGTCCCTCTTACAATGGACACAGCCCACTCCAGCTGCAGGAACAAGAGATTGTTCTCACCTGCCCTTTCCCTCCTCCACCATTCGAATCCTGTTTCTTATTTTCCCCTTCTTTCTTCTTCCTTTCTTCATTTTCTCTCTGGCTGGAAGTTGGAAAATAGAAGATAGGGAAAAATAGCTCACAGAAAAGGGAGCTGTTCTGTGACTTTCTCCCACACAACCCAAGTAGTTTTCTACAGAACTGACCAGCATTAGCTTAGCATCAACTGTGTTGCTGGCATTTTCATCTAAAAGTAAAAATGTGGAATTCACTGCCTAGAAAAGTTCTTATTACAGTAGAAGAACCAATATATATCTCACTAGAACTGAGCCAAATGGAGTAATTTTCACTTCATAAATGTTCCTGAGGCATCTTTGGCTGTTTTGGATGAACACCTCATGTTCAAGAGGGCCCCAGAATAAATTGTCTTCTCAGTGAAGTGTTATCTGCCTCCTAGCCTCTGCTTCTCATGACCAGCAAAACATTGGGATCATTCCAAATGCTCCCTCTCCTCTAGCTTTCTTGGTCATTGCCACATGACAGGAATCTGACCTGCAGTGTCTCTGCCTCTATCTGTCAGTCCTCTCCCCCTCTTTCCTCTCCATTTGCCTCTGACTGGATTGTAACAACCCTTTCCACAATACCAGCAGCATGCTGAATTTTAGTCCCTTCATTTGTCCTCTTTGTAACTGAATGATATAAGAATGTTCATAAAGGAAAGATACTTTTGCCATTTTCTCTTCTACTCGAAAAATGCTAATAACTTCCCACTATATGCACAATTGATTTCACAATCCTTGGTTTGCCTTTCAAAGTTGGTAACATTGGTAAGCTGCAACCAAGCTGCAAGACTTGCTCCTTACACACTATCCTCTTCTTAAGTTAGATTCACTTGTGCAACTCCCTGCCTCCCACTTCTTCCTGCCATGTTCAAATCTTGACCAAAGTACAAATTTCATTGACTGCGTAGCCCACTCAACACTTTGCACTAGCATCCTCCTTATGTACCATGTGCGTATCATTTTTCATTTAAAAAAGTATCCCTCCTTTGTACTTTTTAATTTAGGCTCATGATTAAACCTCAGAGGACTGCATAATTTCTGAGACACTATTGTTTACATTCTTCTTTGTACAATCACTAGTCACTAGTCAGTATCATTGTAGATATTGAGCCAATTACTCCTGCATGATGAAAATACTTTAGGTGTACTTCCAAACTTTATGTAAATATTACTCATCATTTCCTGAAATGTGTTATTTTGAAAAATGTAGCTAAAGATCTGTTTCCCTACTGGGAAGGAAAGGAGGTAAACGAAGAAATTAAGATATGTTATGTACATATATCAAGTCTATTCAAGGAAAGTAAATATGCATTTCAAAGGTATACTGGTGAAAAATGATCTTTTGAGCTCTCAAAATATAAATGTGAGTGGAAGAGTCACATGGACAGTAAGATCTATTTTGTTCTTAGAGGAAATTGCAAGATAATCCAGAGAAGGGCTCCACTTGAAAAATAACATAAAACTTTATCCAAAAGGATGTCATGACATGCTGGTAGTTTCTAACCCATAACTAATAAAAAAGTAACCTAATAATCTGTTTTATACCCCTAGAAGCCCTAATAAAGATTCATCTGAAGATATTTTATAAATAGTCATCTGCTCCTTTCATGTGTAAGGAAAGGAAAAGCACGCTATATCTCACCCACCTGGCTTTGTGCCCCCAGCCCCTCCAACCACAATAGAGCTTTCTTTGCACACTCACAAGACTGCCTTGCACATGGCACACTTGTTGCCATGGGTCTTGCCATCTGGGCCACGCACAGGGTCATTTTCTCGTGTACAGAAAAGAATTCCGTTATGCACAAGACTCCGATATTCACTGCACGTATCCTGCAAGAAGGAGAGAAAGCAAGAGTCTGGGAATTTTCTTGGAAATCAGTTTGTTACGTTTTTATGAAGCCACTTGCTGGAAAAAAAATAGAAAAAAATGGCCTGAGGAATTTTTCCCTTTGGCATTTCTATCTTTCAATTTCCATTAAGCATACTGAATTTAAAAAAAAGAAAAGAAAAAGAAGTTTGTTTTTGTATTTCCGTGAGAGCTATCCCCAACTCAGGATGAGATCTGCAAGCACATATGTGATGCTTCCTCTGTAATCTGAGTTCTCGGAGGACAGGTCACACACACAGCCCTTGCTCTGGGGTTTGTTGTCATGTCTATTATATAATAAAGCAATACAAACAGGCCATAGAATTTTTTTAAAAAAGCCTTTTAAGTTAGGATGAAACCTCATATTTTATCTGGCCCAACAATCACCTCAGTCTTTCAGTCCCCTTTACAGTATGCCTGCCACAAGGTCCTCCAGCTTCTTTTAGAAGACCTGCAATGCTAAGGACAGCACTACCTTCCAAATAGCTCATTCCAAAATCTCCACCAGGTAGATTTCCTAAACTAGGAATGTTGCTACTTTTTGGGATCTTGGAAAGTAACTCCAATAAATCTTATAGGAACTCTACTTTTTTGTTTTCCTAAGGTATTAAAATAGGATGAGCTTGTTCCTTCAGGCTAGCAAGCAAAGATGAAGTGTTGGACACTATTAAAAAAAATCAAGGATATTTTTCTTCTTCCACATGAAGGTTCTTCAAAATTTGGAGAGAACTATCTTGGATTTTCCCCCTATCTCCTAACTTTCTCTTCTAAGAACTAAACATACCTAGACACTTCTGTTGCTCTGTTTCAGACACAATTCCAGCATCATTTCCTACTTTTCACATTCCCCTTTTCCAAATGAATTTAGTATGATATCATCCTATACTTTAAATCTACAATGTTCCTTGAAATTCTCGTGTGTTCAGAGATGGGACTCTTGGGAGGTCCTTGGGTCACAGGGCCTTACACTATCAGAGCTGCAAGCCCCTGTTGAGTTCACACTTGCACTTGCTTTCTTGAGATGGGGCCCAGTCAGAAGGAGGTGAAGAGGGCCTGAAGGGAGGGGAGGGGAATAAGCAAGAAAGGAGAACTAAGGTATGTCTTAGACAGGTGCAAATTCCCTATGACAAAGTGATCATTGTGGATGTATAAAATGCACCAATAAAATTGATTTAAAACATTAAAAACTTCTATTTATATACAACAGAATAGTATTCTTTTTTATTTTTGTTATCATTAATTTTTTTGGTGGAACCTGGGATTGAACTCAGGCCCTTGTGCTTGCCAGGCAAGTGCTTAAGTGCTTATTCCACTGAGCCATCACATGGCCCCTTAATAAGGATTTTTTTTTTTTGCTCTGAATGCCCTCAGGGCTTGTTTGGCTGGCTGGAGTGTTGTGGGGATTGAACTCCAGCAACCTGAGGCTGACAGTTTTGTGGAAGCAGCCACTTAAAGAACTGAGCTATGGCCAGGCCTCCAGAAGAATAGTATTATGCCATAAAGAAGGACATACTTGAGTTATTTTTAGGAAAATGGTTGTGCCCTGAGATCATAATGTCAAATGAAAAAACTTAGGCACACAATCTTAAATATCGCATGATTCTCTTACAACAAAATAAAAGACAAAAATAGGAAAAAGATAAATAACAAAAAGATACTATAATTTAGCATAGAAAATATACATTCAAGTGTATCCTGACTTGGTACAATTGTCTGTCATGTTTCATACTTTCTTTGGCTTGTAGTCTGATTTTCAATCTATATACATGATAATTAATATTATAAAGTCCTATTATATGTGAATCTGTATAGGAAAGATAAAAGGAATTGAAGGAAGTTGGGAAAAGAAAGGAATTGAAATGTGTTATGTACAGGTACTGACTCCCCAAGCGAATGCAATCTTTATGTACTTCAAACATGTTCTAGTAAAAATCAAATAAATAAAAAACAGATAATGAAATTTTAAAAATATGAAAACAAGTAAACAAGAAGTGTACACCTAATTTGACCAACTGTGGCATTCCAAAACACATACTATACTAATAACAATACTGGATTTTGTGACAGAAATTATAAGTCTGAATTTTGTTACTTCAATTTTCAACTGTAAGAACATTGACATTTGAAGAAATGGATACTGATAGCAATATCCCAGTAATATTGTAAGAAAGTTCTTTCTCTCTTTAAAATTTCATTTTCCAACATGGAATAGAGCCAATAAGAGATTTGAAAACAAGCTTGTTTTTGTGAATAAAGTTTTGTGTGAACACACTTAAGCCCCTTCCATTGCATAACACATGGACACAGTAATGCAGCTACAACAGCAGAGGTGGGCAGTAGTGGTAGCGGTTGTGTGGTCACAATGCTGAAATTATTCACTATTTGCCCTTTATGAAAAGTTTGTCAATTCTATACTCAGTGAACTCCACTTTTCCTACCAACTAAGGCCGTCAACAGTTTCCCAAGTGATTTTTACAGAAAAATGGCAAAACTTCACCCTTTCATTGTGATATGGACATTCCAGGAAAAATACCTTTTCAGCTTCTCTTTTAACTTTTCCGTTGGATTTATCTTCCTTCTCTTTTGCTTCTTGAAGGCTGTGAGATAGAGGTAGGGGACAATTATTCCGAGCACCCAGTTCATATTACCTTAAAGGGAAAATTTCTCTAGATGAGACTATTTCATTGCTTCTACATCTCTATCAACTTAGCCTGGGAATCGAGAGATAAATGCATGAGCTTCCATATCCTTGTGGTCTTTAAAGTTGCTCAGAGAATAAGGCATACCTCCCCTAGCAAACCAGTGAATACATTTCATTGCTATATTTTATTTTATAAAGTACAGATATTGTCCATCTTGAGTAACTAGGACACTCACCCCTATCAGCTTGATAGTATCTAATCAATACAGCTTTGGATGTATTGGTCATTCTCATTATCCATGAGAGTGACCTATATGTTGAAATCAAAGGGTATTATTCTTCTAACCCATTAAGTCAAGGAGAATTTGTTTGTAGTACATGGTCTTCTGTTGAGTACCATCTAGAGCACCAGAATATAGTACTGGAAGCATGTAGCTTTACAATAGTAAATCCACAAACACAATACAAAGAGAAGGCTTCCGTACCTCCTGTAGCAAGCCTTCAGTGCCAACCCTCTCACCCACCCAGGGTTTTTCTTCTATAATCAGCAGCAGAGGTGGCTGCAGCTCTACTCACAAGAAGGCCTCACACATGGAGCAGGTATTGCCGTGGATCTTCCCATCCAGACCCTCGATAGGATCGTTCTCTCTAGTGCAGGGAAGGTGTCCATTTCTCACATATTGTCGGTATTCACGGCACAGCTCCTGCCAAATGAAGGGGGATTAAAGAACTGGATAACTAAATGTTGTATATCTTTCTCCACAAGACCCTTTTCAGACTATATGATGTGTAAAATATGATGGATGTATAGGAAAGGTCATACAAGCCAAGATTATTCACAGAGGTCTAAATCACACAGTATTTATTATTTATAAAAATAATGTCATTAGATGCTCTTTAATTCAGATAATTTTGAACTAGATAGACATTGTAAAAGGCAAAAAGAAAAATTTATTGTCTTTTAAATTTTAGGGAATCTTTGGCCTACAGTCACAGCTTCCTAGTACACCCAAATTCTAGTACCTGAGACCTGCGCATCTATTACCTTGTGTAAAGAAGTGAGTTTTGTGAAGGCACTTAGATTAAGAAATGTGAGTTGAAGAGACTATTCTGAATCATCCTAATGTGTCCAGGATAATCACAAAGGCCAGTTCTTAAAACTAAAAGAATGAAGGAGGACAGAAAGTGAGATGTAATCACAGAAGAACAGCTGGAGAGATACACAATTGGTGGCTTTAGAGATGGAAGAAGGAGCCCAAGAATGATGGCCTCCAGAGAGTAGAAAAACCAGGACTTCAGAGAGAAATGCAGTCCTGCCAACCTTTTCATTCTAGTCCAATAAAGTCCTTGACAGACTCTAACCCAAAAAACAGAAAATGCAAAGAAACAATTATAAATTATACTTAAATAACTGATATTGCTCAAAACTAAAGAAAACCCCTGTCATAATAACTGATACTATTATTGACTATATTATATAAGTGCAGAAAATCATTTTGGACCATGACAATTGGCCAAAATTTTAGAGGGAGGATACCTTCTTGACTGAAAGTCTGATAGGAAATAAAGTTGGTTGCATGAGTCTAGATTTAGTTTAACAACAATCTTATTGAATCCACAAGATAGAACAATTGATTCTTGGCATTTACACCAAGCAACAAATGGCCAGTATATTTGATACAAGAACAACACGTAGAGCAGGAAATGAGCTTGAAGCTATGACAGGAATCAGACCAAGTATGGCATAGTAAGCCCTACCAGGATCTTTACTTCAAAGGAGATGAGAAGTTACAGTGAAGTAATCTACCTTGTATTTGTAAATAATTACTTCTGTTTATGACTTTCAGCACACATTAGGGGGAAAGTGTTAAGTGTTGGTACATCAACAGAAATGTATCTCTCAAATTGGAAAGAAAATGAAATTAGTGATGAAGAAGAGAGACACAGCCTGCTGGAATATTATGTGACAGAAACATGAACAAATTCAGTAAGAAAGGAGTATTCCTGCACAAAAGTCTGATCAAAACATAATTTTTCAGTTTGCTAGGTCATGAAGGATGCTGGGATTAGGAGGAGGCATGGGACACAAGCCTAAGTAGAATGACCATCAAACATCTATGTGGCTATGGTGATAAGACGGAACAACTACCTCTACTGCTTCCCTCTTAACTTTTTCAGCTTCAATGTTCTTTTCTGTATTATTTTTCTTCTCCTCTTCTTCAAGTTTACTAAAACAGAAGACACAAGTTCAGTAAATTCTTCAGTGACTTGAGGATTATTTTTCAAGAAAGAAAGATAACTTTCTATAATGAAGGTCAGAAGTCTTTAGGACTTCCCAGGAGGGGCTATTCAAATGCTTGGACAAATTTACAGAAAACTCAGCAGTCCACACTCTTCCTCTCAGCAGTCTATACTCGTCCTCTAAAAAGTAACAATAATAAAAAAGCCTTTATTTTTTTTCAGTATGGGGCCCTCAGGACTTATTTTTGTATAGACCAGTAATTTCAATCAAGGAGCTATAAGAATTCACAGTTGTCTTGAAAATTTTTTAATTGTGAAACTTTTCTCATCCTTACAATTTGTGTATCAATAATGTAAGCAAAGAGCAATGGCAGACACCACGATGGGCCCAGCACCATGCAAACCACACTTCAGTATAAAAGTGTAAATGTAAATTTTAATGGTGCTAAAGCCCACATTGGAGTTCAAGCTTTGGATTACAACAGTGATTCAAGTCTAGTAAGAATCAGCATCTAACGTTTTGAGGACAAGTATAAGACCAGTGTCCTGGTTTCTTGTTTTTCTCTGTGATTGGTTAGCACTTACCAGTGAAAAGTTTTTTTTTTTTTTTTGCCAGCTCAGCTCACCCTGGGGATGGGGTTGGCATGGCATTTGGTGCCAGGGATTGAATCACAGTTCCTGCGTGCTTGCCTAAGCTTGCCTAAGCAGGCACTTTAGACTGCTGAGATATGTCATTGGCCCAATGGACTACTAGACAATATTGGATTATTTTGCTGAATTCATGTACCTACAATATTTAAATGGCAAAGGAATACCCATCTCTGACAAAGCTAAACAAAAAGGGGCATATCTGTATATACAAAATAGTTAGGATAGATATACAGCTACTTTCTCTTAATTCAATGAGAAGAAAGACTTGTACTAATAGTGTTTGGACAGGATATCATGTCTGCATCTTGTACTATGAATAACTACTTCAAAGATAACAATATGCAATGTACTAATTATTGAAACTGTCCTACTAATCGGTTTTGAAACTCTCTCATTGCCATTTGTTTCTCGATAAAATTAATAAAAAATAATAAATAAAAAAACACTGAAAAGTCCTTAATATTCCATACTTAACTGTTAGTACAGTGGCAGAAATTTGAATAAATAAGACAAAAACTCTGAGTGCTTGAATGTCAGGTCATTATTTATTCTATTGTGATATTCGTCCAGTGTCTCCTTTCCAGGAGCCTTGTGTATGTACTTAATGTGGGGCGAAGAGCTATGAAATTTGAAACAAGCAATAACTTTGTACTTTGTTATTTTTATTTTTTCTTATTAGTATATGTTATAATGCACATTAATTACATTCATCTTGAGCACTTGTACATATTCACACTGCAAGTCATCAGTTTCACTTCTCCTTCCCCTGTCACCTTTCCATCTCCCACATCTCTAAATCCCCTTCACATCTCCACAAAATCTGCAGCTATGATGTAAATACAGTTTTCAGAGCTTAAAGTGTATCTCAAAAGGGAATTGGAGGATAAGAAGTCAGAGAATTAGACATGATAATACTCGATTTCTACACAATAGAGCACTTGTTCCTGGTTTACCCACACCATTCAGCAAAAGAACGACCTAGAGGATCCTGACCTGGCTCAACTGGAAGATATTTTAGTAAACTTCAAGTATATAAATCTGCTTCATACTGTCTCGCCTTACACTAAGCCACTATCAAAGTATGCATTTCATCTATACATAATAATGCCCTGAAAACAAAGACACAGTTCTATTTCACATCTTGTTTGGGTATTTTAATAATCATTATCCCCATAGACCTGTATCAAACTACATTTGTTTTAACCCATATATGCATATCTTCACCGCACTGTAAAATATCTAAGGTGGAAGAGAGAGCATGAAATCCAGATTGTGAAGTTTCTATTGTCTTTGCTATAAAAGAAGACAATCAAGTGTTGAAAATATATAGCACTAAATCGAATCTTCCCCCTTGACATGATCAGAAGACAAAAGAATGAGTGACCAGAGAGCAGCAGTGCCGCTGAATGGTCTCATCTTAGTTAATGTCTTGCCCACTGTGCTTAGGACTCCCTAGCATCTAGTGGACAGGAAGTATTCTGCACACGTGTGAAGGATCTGAGACACCGAGAGGAATAGCAGCGAGGAAGTGTGCGAGGGGAGGCGGAGGTGGGACTTACAACACACTGGCACACATGGCACACTTGTTCATGTGCATTTGTCCGTCTGGGCCAAGAACGGGATCATTATCTCTAGTGCATATGAGTGTTCCATTCCTCATTAAGTTTCGAAACTCACTGCAGTTTTCCTAGAAAACAAAGTTTTGTTTTCTGAGAGAAGTTTTCTAATTTTCTCGCATCTTTTCCTATTGAGTAATATATAATGCATAGCAATATAGAAAAGTAAGAAAGAAAAAAGATAATAAATGAATCAAATCAGTAAGGACAAAGCTTACATTATGAATTCAAAATTGCTCTGGTGGTGTAGCAGAGTAGCAAGTGTTTATCATAGTCGTTCTTCCAAGACACTTTTAATTATGGTGCTGAAGTAAGCTGACAGAATTGGTGAAAGACCAACAGAAAACCTGTGTTTCTGTTGTGTTGGAGAGTGCAATCTACAAGAGCTAGTGGAGACCACAGTTGTGTAGATTAGCTAGAGGACAAAGAGAAGCCTTCCTAGAGAAACAGAGCACTACTGAAAAGTCTCTGTCTCTGTCTCTCTGTCTCTGTCTCTGTCTCTCTCTCTCTCTCTCTCTCTCTCTCTCTCTCTCAATAAGAAATAAAGACACAGTTGTCTAGATGAAAACAAGAATAAGGATGTTCCCCAGGGAAAATAGCATCATTCTGGGAGCAAATCTTTGTCTAGGGATGGGCTTGTGGGTCCATGTACAGGACAGTACAGCAGGAGTGGAGAAGGGGGGAGGGGACAGTAGCACCAGGAAGAATTGAGATGACTTGGCAATTGAAGAAATTTAATGGTGAAACAGATTTTCAGTTCTAAATTACTAATAAAGATAGCCCTGGCTAAAAATATACGTACTATTTAAAAATTAGTTCAAAGGTTAATCTTAAGGTCTGTTAACTTTCCCCAAATAATGAATAGATTTGTGTTTTTTCAGGTGTTAAGTAATAACAAAGGTAAATCTTGAGTAAGTTTATTACACGGAAGTATGGATGGCAGACTAAAAATAATTGGAAAGTCAAAGGACATACTTAATGATGACAATTACAGACAAGGAAACTAGTGCTTCTGCCAAAGCTGGATGGTGACAGAGATTGAATATGATACTATATGTGCCTTTTGCTCTGTTAATTGGGATAACAGAGATCTTGTACTCTCTGTTGGAAGTAACAGATATGAATGATGTAAATTAAACAGCAAACTGCATATATTAATCTTAATAATTTGACCTTAAGAAAATCAATCTAATAAAAGCCAAATATGGAAAAAGTACATTAGAAAAACAAGACTCTATTTTTAAAACTGGAATAAGGCTCAAAGTTAGAATAATCAGGAACTAAAATTGGTATTCTCAAAACATCTAATCAACCCCCCCTTTTTTTTTCCTTTTTTGGCTTGCTTTTATCTTCCTTGCTCTTCCCTTTCCTTTCTTTTGCTTTTTCCTCCTCTTCCCCTCCTTCTGTTTCTCTTCCACCTCTTCATCCTCTTTCTCCTCCCCTCTATTTCCCTTTTTAAGATCAGATCATGATGCGTTGCCCAGCCTGCCTCTGAACTTCTAAGCTCATGAGATCCTCCTACCTAGTCTCTCTAGTGCACCAAAGTTAAACATTCGTTTTTGTTGTCATTGTCCATTGTAGGCAGGAAACTTGAACAAGAAACATTTAAACTAATGAGATAATCAGAACATTATGATATAAAAAGTGTCAGGACCCATCACCATCATTTCTGAGAAAATTACCTTTATGGCTTCTCTTTTAGCCTTTGCTTTTGCTTTGTCTTCTTCCTTGCTGTAAGGGAAATGGTGGGAGGAAGGTGAGAAAGTAACAAAGAATCCTTTAGCGGATCCTGTGCTCATAGATCGGTCATTCATGCTTCTACCATCCTCAAGCAACCCCAAGGGCCCACCCACAGCAGTGCATCATTTTATTAGATAATAAACGCGAGTGTTCAGTTCATCTCAGGAAAGTGGCATGGTAGTAAAAGTCCTTTTATTAATGAGTAAGCCTGTTGAACTTGCTGGAATATGTATTACAATAATATTGTATGATTCTTTTGCTTTAGTCATCACCTTTTGTAGAGCAATAATATTTGACTTCTAGAGGGGGATATAGCGTGGTGGTGAAGAGGAAGCGCTCTAGAGTCAGATGATGAAAAGAAGATAAGAAGCGCCCTGATCTGTCGGTGCCTCCCCAATCATTCTGAGTGTGGGGGTCGGTAAGAACAAACAAGCAGTTTTCTCACATGAATGTTAGGCAAATTCTGAACTGATCATTTAAAACAATTTGAAGAGCGCCTTGTACATAATTAGTAAAGAGTGTATGTGACATCAAAAACTAAAATCATCATCCCTGTAAAGTGACCTCCCACAGCCAGGCCCAGGCTGGGAATGAAGGGCGAGCAATGGTTCTGAGGATTCTTGGCTAAGTAACAATGTTGAAAGTTGAGCTCAGTAGCCTAGGCCTGCAGCATAACTGGATGCATGGCACAAATTACTCAATCACACTGCAGAGATCCCCAAATTACCTAATTTTTAAAAGTGTTTTATTGTGTGTAAGATTTTATACAATGAAGATAACTTGAGTTTTTGAAAAAGTTGATAAGAATTTTCATATGCAAAATATTCTGAAAATAACTATAGAGGGAAATCTGTTTTTCACGAAACTCAATAGCCATTAAGCATCCATAATATGTGTGGTAATAAAACTTGAATTTTGACAAAGAATTTGTATACTTATGAATAAAAGTTATTAAAATACATGTAAACTGCGTTTTTCATACTTCTTTATATGAAATAGACTCACACTTTATCCTAAATTGACTAGTTAAGAAATACTTTGTTTCCTTAATGGGAAATTATCAGAGGCCACACAGTTGACCACTAGGAGGCAGAAGTAACTTTTCTGTCATGAGAAAAGGTGTCAGCCTTTGTGAGTACTTCTATCCTGTTTACACACTTCCCTGTGAAACGTATTGTCACCCTTTTCTTGGGATGTGCTATCCTGACTGTGTCATCATGCTTGGCTTGTTAGAGCCTCAGTGTTTTCATGTACACCTTGTGACAGTACAAAGCCAACTTCATACGACTGTGAAGATGAAATGATACTAAGTAGCCATTACTAATACTAAGTTGTCTCTTATCAACTACCAGACAATTACACACATTTGATAAATGCTGGTTGTGATAGTTACATGGCCATTGTTTTAATTTTCTATCTAATAGATTGTGTTAGCATTCCATGGCTCAAGATATATGGGACAAATCTGCTGGATTATATCTCTATCAATGAAGAATGAATAACTAAATCCATTCTGAGATTTTTAAGCACATAAAGAATACATTGGGATAGCCATGCGATCAAAAACTAAGCAGTTCAAGAAAAATCATCGGATTTTTGTGGGGGGCAATATCGCTTCATCTATTCTAAAGTCATACTTTAAAGGAACATCCACCAAAATCACCACTCTTCTAATCTACTAGAAAGTTATTCTTTACACTGAGCCCAAATCTGTTTCCTATGCCTTTTAGTCATTTTAGCTCTCTTTTTTTCCCCAGAACCGGGGATTGAACTCAGGCCCTTGTGCTTGTCAGGCAAGCACTTATTCTACTGAGCTATTGCCCCGGATCCCGTCATTTTAGCTCTATTCCTTGAGGTCAAAAATAATTAAGTAGGGCCGGTCAAATAGCTCAGTGGATTAAAGTGCCTGCAAGCAGATGCAGGGGCCGGGAGTTTGATCCTTGGGCCTGCCATGCTGGCCTCGCTCCAGAGGCATGCTGAGATGGCAATTGACTGGGCATGGTGGCGTGCGCCTGAATCTCAGCTATTAGGAGGCTGTAAACAGGCAAATCACCATGAGTCTGATCTAGTAAGGAGACCTTGAACACCCTGTAGACACTTCCCTAAATATAAAAGATAATAATAATAGTAATTAACTAGAAGAAAAATAATAAACTAAAAAACCATAAAATTTTCCACATAGTACAATACCTTTTCTATGTGAGCTCCTTGATTTACAAATTTTAGCTAATATTTTTTAAAAAAAATTAAAAAACAGTGTATCATAAAATATTGTTTTCTTGGGGTGAAGGATTCTGGGTTACTTCTGAAATTCTATAAAAAATTTCTTGTGCATGTCCCTGTTTAAGGTAAGCATGTTCATTAATAAACATGCATATTGTGGAGCGCAATGTGGTGCATTAATAGATGCACCTATGTGGAATGATTAAATCAAGAAAATTCAGTCACTTCACATATGATCTCATAATTTTATGATGAGGACATTTCAAGGCTATTATTTTAGCAACTTCAAAATATATGATATATTATTAACCATAATCTCAATAGTGTGAAATTGATCTCAGAAACATAGTCCCCTTAGAGGAAACTGTCCTATTAAAATCTGCCTACTGCAGTGCCCGCTGCCAGCCTTCCCCCACCTCTGGCTGTCACCATCACGCTATGGTAACTAGCCTCTGAGTGACACTGTTTGCCACAACATATACAAATAGAGTATGCCGTGAGATTCATATTACCTTGATAAGGGAAATTCTGTATCACCTGCATTTTTTTTCTGTTTTAATTCTAATCTGTACTCTTTAAAAAAGAAAAATAGAAAAATAAATAAAATAGATTATGCTCTGCTTTGTGGATTTGTCTTGCTTATTCTGCATCTCTGTGTCACCACTATTAGCTTGAAAGATCTTTATTTGCTTTTGTTGCTTGTTTTTTGGTCCATTTCAACACCATGCTCACAACTGAGTACTACATTAATGAGGCAGATTCACTATCGCCATTACATAAAAAGCAAAAAACCAAAAATCTTCCCAGAACGCACCCCATGCTCCCTCTCGCAGAGCCCCGGGGTCCCTGCTGTACTCACAACAAGGCCTCGCACATGGAGCAGGTGTTGCCATGCATCTTCCCATCTGGGCCCCGGATGGGGTCATTCTCTCTGGTGCAGAACAGTTGTCCATTCCTCCTGGATTTGCGGTATCCACTACACAGCTCCTAATGAAAGGGGAAAGTTGGGGGTGTTGAACACAAGTTGAACTGGCTGAAAAAATGGCTGGAATGTAGATTAGATTTTTTTTCTTAAAGGAGAGAACAACCACCAGGCTATTTTAGAACATCTCCTAACTTTGAAGACATGAATATCTTTTTTTTTTATTTTA